TGATGGAGGTGGGTCTTGTATCTTATCTGTTGATTTCATTGGTTAATAATAAAGAAACTGCCTCGGCCCTCATAGGACAGAAAATTAGGTAGGCGGAGTAGACAGAGGAGAATGCTGGGAAAAAGAAGCTGAGTGAGTGAGTCGCCATGATGCTCCCACTCCAGACAGACGCAGGTTAAGATCCTCTCTGGTAAGCCAGCTCATGGGCTACACAGAATATTAGAAATGGGTTAGAACAATATGTAAGAGCTAGCCAATAAGAAACTGGACCTAGCCAGGCCAGGCAATGTTTGAAAGAATACAGTTTCCGTGTAATTATTTCTGGGTATAAACTAGCCATGCGGGCGGCCAGGTGCCGGGGACACATCCCTGCCGCTCCTATTTCAACAGACCTGTACAAACAGCTAATTTTTTATTACACCAGATAAGGAGTGCTTGAATATAAACATGGGAAATATTTTACCATTTATCTACATTATGTAAAACAAACTGTGTTTTTAAAATAAACAGAGGAATATTGCCATCATAAGACATTTCTTATTAAAAACTCAGCAAAAGCACCTTTCATTCAAATATCATTTGTTCTTTTCTCAATTTCATCATTTTGCTGATCAAAGGTTTAATCACCATATAGTAGAGACTTCCAATTGCATTTGTAAACCATAAATCCAGATTAACACAAAAAGGTTAGAAGAAGATTTCTCAGTCATAGCAATATAAAAGGTCATGCCACGATGACGCCCACTTTACCTGTCTTTCGGTGAGATCTAGATTCACTGCTATCTCGTATCTTCTCAGTCTGGTCAAATAATTATGGTGAGCAAATTCTGCCTCGAGTTCTCTGATTTGCTCTTTGGTAAAAGCTGTCCTTTCCTTCCTAGGTTTGCTGTTCACTTCTGACTTGTAATTTCCTTCCTGGGAGTCTGGAGGGAAAAGTGCAAGAAGATTGTGTTAGCAGAGTCATGGAAATGTGTGAAATCATACAATTCACAGTTATTGAATACCTACTTCTCCAAGTGTGTTTCTAGACAAAGTGACAGTAAGACTGATCCCATGTCCATAGGGTAAAATAGGTGCTCTCTCTTTCTCTCTCTCTCTCTCTCTCTCTCTCTCTCTCTCTCTCTCTCTCTCTGTGTGTGTGTGTGTGTGTGTGTGCGTGTGTCTTCTCTCTTCCTGTTTTCTAACCGAGAACTCAATTAGAAGAGTTCTTAACACATCTATAAACACCAAATACAGTTTTTAACTTCTAAAATGGTATTGGTCTAATAAAATAAACCAGACCCTCATCAGAAAACAATTGTAGAAATAAAATTTGTATTTCTACATGTACATAAGATCTAAGTATGAGAGAATGTGGAATCCTCAAAGAAGCAATGACTGTGTATACACACACACAAATATAAAAAGGAATAAATCTTTAAAAACAGTTAAAGTTTAGACAAAGCATATGAAGAGTATTGCAGAATTGACTGTTCATTTTATTTTCATTTTAGTTCCTTAATGCAAATAACCATAGTTTTCTCTTATAGTGCCTGCTACTTTGTTCAATAGGAAATGTGTGAACAAAAGTCTGTCCATATGACTTATGCAAGAAGTTTTCATTTTTATTGTACATGCATGGCAAGCACCTTATGTACATACCAAACTTCAACTATCCATATCAAATCTTCAGCACCATGTAAAATCACAACAGTCATTTGGAACATAGCAATCAACGTTTCTATTCGGGAATTAAAAAACAGAATGCAGAATGTTTTATTTAGCTTTTTAATACCCCTGATAGGTAGGCTTGAAAGTGTTTTCTATAAACTAAAACAAAGAATTTGCGTATCATAGAAAAATTAGTCTTCAGTCACCATGTAGACATGGAAAGCAGGCAAATCCAACTCAAGAAATGCATGGCACGCTTATCCTCAGTGAAATACCAACATAATCAACAAGAGATCATGCAAGTCTTCTCCTGAATATCGTTGCTGGTTTCTCTTTGATGTTTGCCATCTATACATGACTTGTGTTGTGCTCTCCAGTACAAGGAGGTCTCCCATAAGTCCAGGAAAGTGATGAAGGAATAATAATGACTAATTAAAAATATAAGCATGATATCTTAATTGCTATTTAATTACATAAATGTAATACAATACGATTGAGAAATTATCTCTTCAGTGGCAGTTGCCTTGAGTCCAGTGGTACTTGTTAATGAGGTATCTTTTGTTTTGGTTCTTTTCCTTTCTATAAACCTAAAGGGAATCTAGCTAGTAAGAGAAGTCCCTGCAAAATGAAAACCCACTCTCCAGGAAAATTTAAGGCAACCAATTTTGGATTCAATCTTATTTAAATTTTAGCTGGCCAGATGTGCTTTTTCTCACAGCAGCTGCAATAGCAATGGTTTCTCACCTACATTTTTCACACTTGGCTACTCCTTTTATGTTAATGGTCCTATAGGAAGTTTCTCTGACTGCTTGTCATTTATGACCACATTTCCAAGTTGTCATTTACTTTCCATATTGACTAGGATCCTCATCCTGGCTGGTGAAGGTCAGCCAGCTTCCCTATTCAGGTTAAAGAATGTTTTTATGAAATGCAGTCTGCTTATGCAGGATCTGATATCACAGGACCTAGGTGAGTTTCTAGTAGGTGACAGCTCACAGGTAGTTATGTTTACATGATGCCAACATACCTGGCTCAAAGTATAACCAAGAGTTCATCACACTTGGTTTTAAACTACATATTTGACAACACTCACACTGTTGTAGCATGGAGCTATTCCAGGTAATAGCATTTTTGCTCCCTAGGCTACTCTGGCAGACATTAAACTCAAGTCACAGTATGGAATATTCAGCTTCAAGTCCTTCCTAGGACCATCTTGGTTCACATGAATCAAGATTTTTGCCAGCTTGCACTCATTCTCACCGAGATCTTGGCTTGTGGTTATTTGTATGTAGACAATGTTTTCTTCTTTCCCTTCAGAAAAGCAACTATGAAAGCTGACTGCGAAGTAGCAAGTTTTTCTCATGAGGTGCTCAGCTTGAATGAGTCATGCTTCATCTAGTTCAGTATGAATGACTAATGGCTCACACCTTCTGGTAAGTAAGCATGAATGAACAAATTCACATTGAGAGAAACCTATTAACTGGTATTTATTTTTCTTTCGTTGACATTGCTCTCCTCCAGTTTTTGAAATATTCCAGAGTATCTAACAGATACCTCGCATACAAACAAAACATGTGATAAGCTTATACAGACAATCATTGTGGCAAGAGATGCAAAGCACCAGGCTTGTACAGATAGTGGCTGGATTTCAGCAAAAATCTCGCTATGACGCAGTATTTCGATCTAAAAACAGTTAATGGAATGACCAATCCCTATGCAAAACTGTAAGGAAGGGAAGTCCATTGAACAAAATGAAGTGAGGTTTGCACACTTACATTTTCAACAAGCACAGAAGTAATCATTGAGTTGAAGCTAACATGAAGAGCAGCTATGCGCTTCTTGGAGAGGAATAGCAACTGAGTTAGGTATCACCATTGACCCTTTATCTACTGCACACTTTCATGGTGGGACATATGATACTGGTGTCCTATTAATCCACAATGTTCCCAATCTTTACCCAGACCCAGAAAGAAAAATATCATATGTACTCACTCGCAAGTGGTTTTAAAACATAAAGCAAAGAAAACCAGTCTACAAATCACAATCCCAGAGAACCTAGACAACAATGAGGACTCTAAGAGAGACATACATGGATCTAATCTACATGAGAAATAAAAAAAGACAAGATCTCCTGAGTAAATTGGGAGCATGGGGACCATGGGAGAGGGTTGAAAGGAAGGGGAGAGGAAGGGAGGGTGCAGAGAAAAATGTAGAGCTCAATAAAATCAATAAAAAAGAAAAATGCTTTTTAGAATAGCATCTTTTGAACTTGCGTTTCCAGTAATCTTGAATTTAAATTACTTCTTTATGCTTTACAAAGTTATCACTTGCTAAACCCAAATCCTCAACTATTATCACCTGACCGCCTATTCTTTGCTGGAAAATGGGTAGGAAGCTTGGATGAGGATTTTGGCAAACTTCACCTCAGCTTCCAAATGTTTCACAGCTGTTTCAACTAAGGCAAAACTCTGTCTTCTCCACGTCCTCTTCCAAGTGGTGGTGGTGTGTGTGTGTGTGGGGGGGTGAGATCTAGAATCAAACTGCCTTCATTTCTTCTGTACCACCATAAACACAATCTCAAAAATTCCACAATAGATCCCAGCATCAAATAGTACAACTGCTTTTCGTTTTGTTTTGTTTTGTTTTGTTTTGTTTCAGACACTTTTGTGTACCAATGGGTGCACCTTAGCATACTTGCTGCGCTGAGGGCATGTTGTCTTATGTCTTCAGGTTTCTTGGCAGGCCCAAATCCCTATCCTTTGTCTAATTGAAGATTTTGGGACTTTGCTAATTGAAGAAGCCTGCCCTGCATCTGTGAAGGACTGAAGCTGCCCTCCAAGAATCATTTCTGTCTAATGTTTAGAACTTTCCCAGTGTGACATTTTATTTTTCTGAGAACAAAAGGAAGCTAAAAGACATTTTTCTTAAAGACAAGAGATATGTAGAATCAATATGCTCATCCATGGTACAGAATGCTATTGAATGTAAGATAAATAATAAAACATGGTGAGCATAGAGTCTATAATTTAGCTATGGCTATAAAATACTGAAATGAAGTGATTTTATTTTAGAATGACAAATATTTCTGATTTCCAGAAATATTTCAACATCAATTCATCAATTCTCATACTCAAAAGAAAATAATGAATTAAGTCAAGTTCAAATGTTTCTCTAGGGAATCTGGAAGACAGAAACAGAGAGAAGTTGCAAAAAAGTAACATTGAAAAATAGTTTCTAAACAATACAAATTTAAAAATGACACAAATTTGATAAATGTAGTAGGTATGAAATTTTTGAAAACCCAGAAATTCAAAATTTACATTACAGAAATACATCCACCTGAGCCCTGACCCTTCATATATGGCTACTTTTCTGGGGCAGGCAATGACTTGCTTTGGCAGGTCTTTGCATTCCTAAAATACACTGGAAAGCAAAGCAGTATAATACAATATTTATTCTTACTTCTTCCTTTTATTTTTGGTAATTTTAAGATGATGGTAGTCAAAGAAATTTTGGCCAATTTG